ATCAACATGAACATCATTGGAAGACAGGCATGTTCGTAGATTGATACGGCATCACACATTACGATCATAGCAGAAAGACTGTGGAGAATCGTCGGGTCACCAGCTAACAAATTAACCAGTCCACAGGCATCAGGTGCCGAGTTGAAATTGCTGGGTCGAATGTGAGTGTCGTTATGCCGACTACCGCATGGGGAACGATTTTCGTCACGAGCCACCAGAATTTGAAGCTTCTGGGTCTGGACTGGATCGAACGTTTCAACCTACTTGATGTTCCGATCAATCAGATTTGTGCAAATGTCTAGATACACAAGCCAATAGCTCCTAAAACTAGCCATCGAGCACCTACGGGAGAAATATGCAGCAGTCTTTCGGGAAGGCCTCGGTAAATAAGCCAGATATGAGCTTCACTCTTCCTTAAGCCCGATGCTGTTCCAGTATTTCGTGCGAGACGTCCTTTACCTTACGTGGCAACACCACTAGTTGACTAGAAGCTGTGTCGCTCAGAGAGAGAGAGAGAGAGAGCTGGTTTCGTTGGGCTGCTACGAAGGGGCTCCCGTAACACTTCTGGGTCATCACCTTCAAGAAAGTAGTATTTAGCACTGCAGTGCTACTGTAAAATAGTGTATCCTAATTAAACAAAATAAAAGAATATGTATATCTCGATAGCGCGAGACAGATCATATGGTTAATCCGATCAATTGTTGCAATTGGATTGTCAAGAAGGATTTGTTTTTAAGTTGTTCATCAGAAAAGTGGTTCCGAATGGATGCTTCAATGGTTCAACGTTTTTGAGAAGCTGAGGAGTGTAGATGTGATATCGATGGATGTTAGTAATCACTCCGCAGTTTGTGTGCTGATACTTCCTGACAAAAAAGAGTTAGAAATACGGAAAATAATTCTTTCCTAAACAAAAAAGATATGATAGTGGTAGATTGACTTCGAATAAGATAATTTTGTTATTTCCTAAATAACATTCGGACCTTCTTCATACAACTTGATTATACTCACGTCTATGTTGACCCGCTACATCTTTCATCATTCCATGAAACCCACGAGCTCGTTTCCCTTTAGTTTCACCACACTCTGTCTACCTGAGGCATCGGAAAAATGTTGAAAACTCGTTTGAACCCACATTACGTGTACCGTAAAATGGGGTAACTTTTCGCCAACATAATAATTACAAAACTTAAATTATACTTGGATTTCTTATTAAATCGGTCGGATAAAACGTTCAGCATTCCGGCTCGAAGATGATTCGCTTGTCTCGTGGTCGTGACCTCGCTTCAAGCAATGACAGTTTTCCACATTTACAGTTTCATGGTCCTTGTGTAGAAGGACTTTATAAATCAATGAAATCGTCTCCTATATACTTCATTTTGTCTTCTCACATGGGTGTTCCTTGTTGACGTCTTTCGAGTTCCGTTTTGGGTCGAAGGTTTGGACTTTGAGGTCGGTACGTTCGCGATACATAGAAGGCCACAACAGATTTTTCTGGCGACAGAATACAATTGTGAATAACTCCCAGATGCCACTGTCAATAGAAGAGCTCACCTTGATCTTGCAGCAGCAACAGAAGCTATTTAAGGACTCACAGCCGCGGCTGATCGAAACGCTGTCGCCGAGATTTAATGTTCAATCGTCCTCGACTGACAGAAAGTAGTCACCCGTTGATGCGATTTCAAGAAGCATCACAGAATTCAAATATAATCTAGACGCCGGGTGCACTTTCGAATCTTTGTTCAGGAAATATGTAGCTACATTCCGGGCAGAGCTGGCTGACTAGAAATCACGGTTACTTCTGCGAAAGTTTGGGACCAAGATTACACGAGAGGTTTGTGAATTCTATTCTTCCTAAGAGTGCGCAGAATTTTAAATCCGACGAAATCTAAACTGTTGAAAGAGATCTTTGGGGAAGCGTCCTCTATTTTTAACTGTAGTATTCCTGTATGCAACTTGTCAAAAGTGACTATGCTGATTTTGTATCTTATGCGACCACGGTTAACCGTTAGTATGGACGTTTTGAGCTTAAGGAAATGACGGAAGACCAACTCAAGTGTCTGGTAGTTGTTTGTGGTCTTCAATCGCCTCGTGACTCAGAGATTCGTACCCGCTTACTCAATCAGATATAGCAGGACCCTACCATGAATCTGAGATCAGTCATTTCAGTGTCACTATTTGTTGAACCTGAAACAGGACACTGCCTTGATTGGACGAGAAGCAGTCCCTGGCTCCAGTAACGTGCATGCTGTGACAAAAGGTACCTCAGCAAAGCCCACTAATTCCTCTAGAAGCGGCACCTTCAACAAATTCCCAACAGCCTGCTGATACTGTGGTGGTTAACCTTATATCCGACTGTGCCTATTCAAAAAGCACCACTGTCAGAAATGTCACAAACGAGGACACAAAGAGGATCATTGCCGCGCACACAATGGAACACTTCCGAAGACCCAGTCTAGCCAGTTCAAAATAGGTGAACAAAATTCTATGTACAAAATACCCTGTTTTGGCTACTTTCCACACAGACGCAAAACACCGGCGTATATGATTGTGCAGATCAACAATATTCCTATGTGTCTCCAGTTCGATACACCATTTGATGTTACTATATTGTCGCAAATCACATGGAAGGTGATCGGCCGACCTCCTCTAAAGTCAACAAACCGCACAGAGCTGCATGCTTCCGGTGCTATCCTGAAACTTACAGCTAGTTATGTGTTCTGTTTTTTTCACTAATGTGCAATTCTGTGCCATGTGTTACCTTTCTAATCGACCAAATCAAATCCTTCTGGGCCTTGATTGGATCGCAAAACTCAGGCTTTTGGACGTCCCACTTAATTCTGTGTGTAGTCAGTTGTGAGTTCATCATGTGATCAATCCTCCTTGGAATGTTCTGTCAGAGCGTTTGTGTCATGACTTCGCTCAAGTATTCCGGGTCGAACTTGGTTGCTGCACGAAAACCAAGGCAGTATTGTCACTCCACCTCTATGCAAAACCTGTCTTCCGACCCAAACGTTCAATACCATATGCGGCGTTGATCAGGAATTGAAGAGGCCACAACAGGCTGGTATCCTTAAACGTGAATTACTCTTCATGGGCTGCTCCTATTGTGGTGGTCAAGAAACAAAATGGGAATGTCCGAATTTGTGCAGACTTCTCAACTGCTCTGAATGCTGCTCTGGAAAGTCACCAATATCCGTTGCCTCTGCCGAATGATTTGTTCGTAAGGCTAAATTATGGCAAAAGTTTCGCCAAACTGGATTTGTCGGACGCATGCGTCCAAGCGGATGTTTCTAAGGATCCACAAGAGCTGCTGACCATCAATATTCACCGCGGTCTTTTACAAAACACTCGCCTACCATTTGGGGTAAAAACGGCACCTGCCGTTTTTCAACTGATTATCGACACCGTCTTACAGGACGTTCCATCTGTTGCTGCATATCTTGACGATATCATTATCATGGGTGCTGATCCAGTGGATCTAGAGAACCGGATTGAAAACGTGCTTGATCGAATCCAATATTGTGACTTTCGCCTGAGGGAAGAAAAGTGTGTCTTCTACATGGATTCGGTACTATACTTGGGATTCATCATTGATCAACATAGTCGATGACCAGACCCCGCTAATATTGAGACCATTCAGAAAATGCCTCCACCACATGATGTTACGACGCTACGATCCTTCATGGATTTACTGAGTCAATACAGTGCATTTTTGCCAAAATGCATGATATACGGGGTCCACTAGACGCGTTACTTCTCATAGATTCCAAGTGGTGTTGGAGGACGAAATGCAGTCAAGCTTTTGATAGGATCAAAGCCATGCTATCATCAGACCTACTGTTGACTCATTACGATCCGAAATTGGATATCATTGTTGCTACAGATGCGTCTAAGTACGGAGTCGGCGCGGTTGTATCTCACCGCTTTCCTGACGAAACTGAGAAGGCAATTTCTCATGCCTCCCGATCGTTCACGCCCGCAGAACGCAACTACAGCAAAATTGAAAAAGAAGCATTGGCTATCATTTACGCCACTAAGCAATTTCACAAAATGCTTTATGACCGTCATTTTACTCTGGTCACGGATCACAAGCCCCTATTTGTTATCCTCGGGTCCAAGAAGGGCATTCCCGTGTACTCTGCAAATCGCCTTCAGAGGTGGGCTACTATGCTTTTGGGATATGATTTCGAAACCAAGTACCAATCGACTGGGAACATTGGTCAGCTCGATGCCCTATCACGCCTCATGGACAAAGAGCGACAGGAGTCAGAGGACGTTGTAGTGGCAAGCAGCTCGATCAAGCCTGAAGTTCGTAGCTTTGTCGCAGATGCAATTAAAGCTATCCCAGTAACAGATTCTCAGATTTGTATCGCAACCTCACATGATTCCTTGCTCCAGCAAGTGATCCGCTTTCACAGATCAAAATGACCACAGAAGGTTGAAGACAGTGAACTGAAGCAGTTTTGTCAACGTCGCAATTCGCTGTCGATTGTCGACGGCTGTCTAATCTTTGCAGACCGAGTAATGGCTCCCTTGGAACTTCAGTGGATGGTTCTGAAGCAGTTCCACACCGGACACCAGGGAATAAACTGCATGAAGACATTGGATAGAAGCTACGTGTACTGCCCTCATCTGGATGCTCAAGTCCAAGAGCTTGCCCGCTCTTGCTCTAAATGCGCACTTGCTTCGAAGTCGCCAAGGAGAGCAGAGCTCCATTGTTGGCCGGATCCTGGGAAACCATGGTCGAGGCTCCATGCCGATTATCCTGAACCTATTGCTGGAAACAATTTTCTCATCCTGGTTGATACCTACATTAAGTGACCAGAGATACTGCACATGACATGGACTACTGCCTTAGCGACCAGTACTGCACTTAGTCAGGTTTTCAGTCGCTTCGGGTATCCGGATACATTAGTGAGTGACAAGGGAACTCAGTTCACCTCAGTGATTTTTGAGGACTTTTGCAACAAAAGCGACATAACTCACATGAGGTCACCTCCATACCATCCACATTCGAACGACCTAGCAGAGCGATTCGTGGACACCTTCAAGAGCGCATTACTGAAGGCGGAGGAGGGACCGACGACCGAGATCCTTGAGACTTTTCTTCTTGCCTAGGGGATAACTCCAAATCCACAGGTGCCTCAAGGTAAATCTCCGGCTGAAGCACTGATGCAACGAAAAATACGATTCAGTCTCGATTTGGTTAAACCACCTGACAGAAACAGCCTGAACCGAAATTGCAAAATGGAACAGCAGTTCAACAGGAAACTCGATGCTCAGAACCGGGTTTTCTTCAAAGGGCGACCTGTGCTAGCAAAGAACTACCGCAACGACCAGGTTACTTGGACTCCAGGATGTATCATTCACCGAACTGCAAATGTCACGTATGATGTTGCTGTTACTTATGAGGTTTGGGTCTGACATGCCAGTCAGTTACAATCATGTTCCTTTCCGGATGCATCACCAGCGCGCAGTATGTTGCCGTTGGACTTGCTCCTCGACACGTTCCGTTTTTGGGGTCACCTCAGCGAGACACTTCGAAGAAATGGAACTCAAGATTTGTTGCTTTGTTTGCATCCTTTTAACTTGCATGTCACGAAGAAAGTTGTAGAACTTCACACGGTAAACAAGATTTAGTCCACTCAAGGCGTATTCCACATATCTCATCTTGGTCTTTATTTGCGTACAACGACGAATGGAGGCTTCGATTTGAGATTTCGTGAGGCGTTTTAAATTGTGCGGATTCACGGGTAAATTATCTCTCCTTAGAGATATCAGAAACCTGCGTGGGTACCTCAACAACCTTATGCATTCTTTATATATCTCGATATAAGCGGCTTCACGGGAGAAAGTGCAACGTGGGAGTCGTTGTTCTAATGATGTCATACAACTAGTTTTAACAGAGCAAGAACAACGAACATTTCTACGGTATATTCTGAATTCAGTATATTTTGTGTATTCTCTTCAGCCGCTTGCATACAATGGGTGAAGATTTTAAACGCTTGGGAGTAAACGGTCAATACCAGAAATCGATGGTTAGTTGCGTTGGTTAGCCTGTCTTGCCTCACTAAGGCAAAGCAAAATTGGCCACAAACTCAAGATGATCAACAGACAGAGCAACCCCAAGTTGTTGCGTTTTACTGAGGCTTACGTCATCCGGCGTTTGAAGCCTAACCTATGTAAACAACGAGTTTGTGGCCAATCTTGCTTTGCCTTGGTGAGGCAAGACAGGCTAACCAACGCAACTAGCCTTCGATTTCTGGTATTGACCTATTACTGTCAATCGTTTGAAATTTTCATCCATTGTATGTAAACGGTTGAAGAGGATAGACCAAATATACTGAATTTAGAATATTCCGCATAAATGTTCGTTCTTACTCAGTTAAAATTTTTTGAAGGGAAACGGTTGTGTGACATTTTTAAGGGTAATTGTCGTCCCGATGGCTTGGACTGCTTAGTTGAGATCAGATTAATTTTTTTATGATGGCTACATTCCAAACATGAGCCTTCCTTGAAAATTGAGTGTGACGGAGCGGCTCCAGTCTGTTGGGACAGACTTCTGTTCCCACAGCTTCAAATCATCTAAGGTTCTCTTCGCGTACACTTAACTCGGCAAAACTCAAATATGCATGTGTTAAACTTCCATTACCTCTTTCTACTCATGCTGGAGAATATGGAACAATGGTATATTACAGGCAAAAATCGGATGCTTTGCAAGTCCTGTAGGATGGCGAGAATGAAATCCACAATATGGTGAATAGAAAACTGCTAAAATGAAATTCGTTTTGGTGGACTCACCACAGTGTTAACACAGATGCATCCAGAAAGGCCAACCTCAGATGTGTAAGTTAATTCTGGTTGTTCAGCTTTCGTCTTGTTATATCGTCTGCCGAGACACACAGGCGATATTTCGTAATGTAGTTGGGTTAGCGCAACATCATGGGGTTTTTTAAACATTGGTAAAGTGGGGGCGGAAACAACGTAATTTGGGAGGGCGTTCCAAGACTGACACACACGAAGAGAGTAAAAGTTCCGTCGACATTCTAGCCGACTGTACTGGGTGGTTAACTTTAACTGGTGACCCCTCAAATTCTTCTTTTGACTCACTTGTAGTAGGTAGCGGCAGACATGGTTGGGGTTCCTTAGAATCTGGTGACCCATGATAAGGTCGCCACATAGGTGCCGGTACCGGCCGCTGTATACTTTTAGGATCCTCAGTCTAAGTTGATAAAGAAGATTGGACAACCGTTTAACGTGCTTCGTGGCTCGTCGCTGTGGAGTCTCGATCGCTTCAAGATTTTGCTTTTGCCAGGGCTACTAGACCTGGATTGCGTATTCCACATGAGGCCGCACGTAGATGTTAAGCAACTGTGAATAGGCAGAGGCATCAAACCACCCGAATGCCGTCCGCAGCATGCCAGCGTGTTGGTTCCCACTCTTTGACGCCTTCTCAGATTGTTCTGAGCAGCCCCGATCAGACTGGACTAGTACCTCAAGGTCGCGCTCCTGCGTGACAGCTTGCAGCACATGGTTTCCAAGTTTGTGTGTGATATTCGGCTGATGGCGAATGTGAACCACCTTACACTTTCCCGAATCGAACTGAGGCAGATTGTGAAGTGACCGGTCTTACGCTCTGTCCAGGTCTCGTTGAATTGCATCGTGATCTGCTGGGTCGGCAATCGTCCGCCACATCTTAACATCATCAGCGAATAGCAAGAAACATGAGCCAATCAAATGCGTAAGCTCGTTAATGAACACGAGAAACAGACGCGGCCCCAGAACGGATCCCTGTGGAACACGTTCGACATGAATCAGATCGAACAGCATACTTCGAACTCTGACCTGCAGTTACCGTTTCTGCAGGAAATTCCTGATCCCAAGGACAGGATCATCAACTCTATACCTTCCGAGCCTGTGAAGCAGAATGTGGTGGTCCAGTCAGTCGAAGACTTTGTAGAAGTCGAGGTAAATGACGTCTGTCCCTCGATTTTCATCGGTCGCTTCCGTCCAACTACTGCGTGCAGTCAGTAGGTTGGTAGTGCATGAATGGTGCTTGCAGAAACCGTGTTGCTCGGGTGCTATGATGTGGCGTTCTATAGGGTCTGCTAAAGCCTCAACAATGATTGCCTCCATCACCTTTGAGATCACACGGAGGAGGGCCACTAGGCGATAGTTAGTGGGTTCCGAGCGATTACCGCTTTTGAGAAGTGCAGTGTTTAAGCCATGTTTCTACATAGTAGGCACAACTTTCTTGTCCAAGCACCTTTGGAAGAAATCTGATAGTAGCCCGGCCAGCGTTGTTGGCGCTAACTTCTATGCCCTCGGGTGAATATACTCGATTCTCGTCAGAGCTGTAAGTGCCTAGTGAGAGTTGTTTCTCCAACACAGATGTGGCAATAAAATCGACGTTAGTGAGTGTTGAACTTGGGGCTAGTAATGTGGATTTGTAACAGGGACGAACGTCTCTTTGGAAGGTTGGGACATACTGCATTCGTTGGGCGTTGACTGCCACTCCTGCACTCTGTTCCACTGACTGGCGTGTTAAGTGGGGGGGGGGGAATACCGAGCTTCACTTTCCTGATGGTGCTAATATGCTTGTATAGGAGCTTTTTATTGTTGGCAAATTTACAGGCCAAATGTTGTTGGTGAGTCAATTTGTCCTCACGGACAAGTATGTTACAATGGTTGCGCTGGGCCACGTAAGCGCTTCAGGTCTCGAACTAGGACGAGCACTGTAAGTTTACCAAACTGCATTCCTTATTGACATGTGCTTGCGGGTTCTACTCCTGATGAAAAACGAGGGGATTGGTGAAGCGAACTCTCTTCGTTTCTGAAGCAGTTGCGATTAGATTGTTGAGGCGTCCAACCAACTGAATCCAGGCGCTGTCAGGCGAGCCACTTTTCAAGAATTCCCAATCAGTCGTCTCAGCTTGGTAGTTCAGGATGTAATGTGTGATAGTACGTGTTAGTTCTGTGTGTTCCTCCGGATATTCAGCATAATACATAGTTATAGTGTATGATGACATGATCGCTCAGCCCTAGTGGGGTGTCTATAAATGGACTGTCGACCATGAGTTCCTCCTTTTTTACTTACGAGGTTGGGTTCCGATGGTCTGTTATCAATATTGTATCTGGTGAGATGATGTGATTGTAGAACGAGATACTTGCGATGAGGTCTTGCAGTTCGGCCTTGTGTGTTTCGCTGGGAAATGCCGAGGTTTTCAAGTCGTAAGTTGGGAGTAAACATTTCATCAATGATGCTATTAGGTGAGAATCCATCTCTGGAGTGGACGATGAGGGTGGCGGTAGACGACTGCCACGAACCAGTTATTGTTGTCTGAGGCGCGAACGGTATTGTACCGATTCGGTGACCCGTGTGTCCGGATTATCCAGTGGTTCCCATTGTAAATCCTAACGATAGTATAGGATAGCACCACCTCCCCTGCTGGGACGATCGTGTCGGAAAAAGAACATTCCCCGAATCGCAGTCTCAGCATCCGTAACCCCTAAATGCAACCAAGTCTTGGTTATGGAGATGAGATCCCAAGGGTTTGTTTCCTGGCGCAACCGAAGCTCGGCGATTTTGTTTAGGAGGTCTTGGGCATTCGTGTACATGCAGGAAAGTGTTTCTGTTCTCAGCAGCGATCCGAGACACGTGGCTAGGATGAGAGGTTGTGCCGACCGTTGTTTGGTATTATCGGCGAGTCGCTTGGAGTTGGATTCAGTGGCATTGTGATTAGCCCATCTGATAACTTAGTTTGCACAATGCATGGGGAGTGGGTGCAGGGTTTCATAGGAAGATCCTCACTTCCTTCAGACTTGCTTCCGTTGTGAATTTCGGATATGACTACTACTTCGTTTGACTGCTGTGGTGGTGCTTTAAGTCGGACCATAGTTTCGCTCGCCGCTTTGAACTGGAGCTCATTTGGCAGTCTGTTCCGAAATAAATGCCAGAGTTCCAGTAGCGTAGATGCCATCTACCCAGTTTGTAGCATAGCCTTAATTATTCTTGGGCCGCACCCTTTGTAGCTTTGTGATCTTGGCAACCTCGTGAGAAAAGTAGCAACAACGTCATTCAAGTGCAGGGGCTGTCGAATATAGCGCCACTGCCCCTCGTCTTGTGCCTTTTCTTCGCATTCATCATGCTCATAAGACTGGGGACGCCGTGGACAATAACAGTTCCGGCTGCGGTGTTTAGCCGGAACTATTCTAAGCTCTGCCTCGCTCGCCCCATGGAACGACTGGAAAGACGCGGACCAAACCGAATTCGTTCTAGAGACGATCAGTTGAAAGAAACGCTGCTTCCACCTCATCGACAGAGTTTAGCACAACGCGTAGAAGCCTAGCTTCGCCATAACGCTTGGAATTCGTGTGGCGGGTGATCCTCGTCAAGTTGGAGGGTTTAGTCAGGATACCGGGGTTACTTATGGTATTCCTTTGGTTCATGTCATCCGCCTGTTTTCATCATCATCATCATCATACACGTTAGCTAGAGGTGGGGAACACCTCAGCTACTGTGCCGCAATACACAGAAAAAAGGAGAAAAAAAAGCAACTGGTGCAACCCGGCTGAGCTACCGGTAACGGATGGGCATCGTTCCGGTAAGCTACCAGCCGGCTACTGTGCATCAAAAAAATACTATGCGAAATTATATAAAGCTAACTAATGAGATCGTGGTTGGAGGGGGAGGCTAAGAGGGATGGGGTGGGGCAAAGAAACTCAGCACGAACGCCACTGAGGTCGGCTCCTAGCCATATCAGCAAGTGTATCCAACCAAACGTGTTCATCATCTTTCGGACCCCAACCAGGGAGCCGAGACGCTCCAACCGAGGCCAGCTCCGAAGTGAGGGCCTTCATTTCTCTGGACCAAGTCATCGCTTGGCCACTCCTCCTTCCATCCACACCCCCGGCGCGCAAACAACGCACGTCGCGGGAGTCGGTGTGCTGGCATGCGTAACACGTGGCCGAGACATCGGAGTCTGGTGCGTGAAATGACGGTGCTGAGCGGTTCATTTCCTTTTCCTGTGCCGTAAACAAGGCGTCAAACACGCTCATTGCTCACGCGGTGTTCCCACCAAATGTGAGCTAAATTACGAAGGCACCGGTGTTCGAACGTAACTAGCCTCTTCAGGTCCGCTGTTTTAAGCGGCCAGGTTTCACAACCGTACAGTAGGGTCGAACGTACTGTTGCATTGCACACTCTACCCTTCAGCGCGAGAGTGATGTCGCGCCGGCGCCATAAATGGCGAAGATTAGCAAAAGCGCCCCGAGCTTTTGCTATACGATTCGTGATCTCATCCTCAATCCCACGGGCGCTGGTACAACTTCCCAGGTCGTTGAATTTTTGAACGACTTCTAGCTGATCCCCACCAAGGGTCAGCGTAGGAGGCAGTTCAGACCAATCTTGGAGAAACGCTTTGCACTTCGAGGGTGCGAAGCAAAGCCCGAAGTGACGGACAGCCAGTGCTAATCTGTCCAGTGCCGCTTGGCACGTTTTTGAGCTGTCACAGATTAGGGCAATATCATCAGCATACTCTAAGTCAAGAAGTCGTTCTCCTGGAAGTAGCTCCACTGTGAACGCGATTTCCATGACTTATTCAACAGCGAAGTTGAATAGGAAAGGTGACAGCGGGCATCCTTGTCTCACGCCGCTGGAGATATTTAAGAGCGACGACAACTTGCCGTAAGCCCTGACTCTGCCCGAGCTACGAGCATATAATGCTCGGATAATATTCACATATTTCTCAGGTACACCTTTCTTGAGTAGACAGTCCCAAAGTGCAAGTCTGTCCACCGAATCGAATGCACCTTTGATATCGAGGAACACGACAACGGTGGACCGTCAGTATATGTGACGGTGTTCCAACAAGTGACGCAAGGTGAAGATGTGGTCAATGCATCCACGACCTCGACGAAATCCAGCTTGCTGTTCACGAATCTGGCTTTCACGAGTGCCAGTCAGTCTGTGAAGGGTGACAGAGGTAAGCAATTTGGAGGCGATGGAGATCAGACTGATTCCTCTATGATTGCCGCATTCCGATCGTGAGCCTCCTTTGAAAATTGGGACTATGACGGAGCGGCTGCAGTCAGTTGGGACAGTTTCCTGCTCCCACAGTTTCACTAGTAACACATGTAACTCATCCACAAGAGCAGGTCCCCCGAATTTGAAGAGGGCTGGAGGTAGATCATCAGGTCCCGCGGCTTTATTTAACTTCAACAGTTCGATCTCACGTTCGACTTCTGAGCGAGAGGGTGGATCCAAAGGAACAGCCCACGGAGCAGGGCGATCACTGGTCGGCGAGAAATCTAACGATTCCGACCGATTAAATTGCCTTTCAAAGTGCTCAGCCTAACGCTCTAAGCGTTTTGAAAAGTTGTGGATAGGCTGTCCACTCTCGTCACGTATAGTTACACTAACACCAGATCTCCTGCTGCCCGTTTCCCGTATCAGAGTGAATAACTTACGATGGTTACCAAGGGCAGCGCCCATTTCCATCTCAGTTACACGATGAGGCCACCAGGATTCGCAGTCTCTCTTCAGGCTAGCACGGAGCTTTGCCCGGAGCTCTTTGCGAGTTTCATTGTGTTCGCTTCCAGCCGGAATATGCCGGGGAGCATCGAGAACTTCAAGAGACTGTGAAAAGACCCAATGTCGATGTTGGTTATTAGACATACCACATGAGGATTTTCCTGCTGCTAGTAAGGCCTGTTGCATATGAGACCAGTGAGCTTCAATTGCATCCAGTGAGCATTTATCCAACTCGGATGACAGCGTAATTTGATAGGAATTCAGAACAGCTGGCTTCGCCAGTTAGCTGGCGTCAATGCGTTCACAACGTCGTCGTGGGCGTCCTGTTTTCCCTTCAAAGAAGTCGATATTGGCTTCGGGACATTGCTGCGTATTATAGATATGACATCTAATTGTTTCTGAGTGTCTTTCCTGGGCGTATGGACCTTAGTTGGAGGCTCGATCGAGTTGCTACGCATCCGTGCATCGTTGCCTTTCACATTAGTTATGGGTGTGGCAATAGAAACAACAGCGTCTGATTTTTGAGTGCACTTTGATGCATCAACAGTCCAGCTGCCACTGGTATTTGCATGTTTTCTGGGTTTCTTCGAAGTCTGCTGGGAGGAAGTAGGTTTAGGGGAAATTGTTGCAAATTGGCTGGGGGTGAAGTGTTCGGGAACGCTTGGTCGATTTACACTATTGACAGTGTTTACAGGAGCAACTCTATTAGTGTAGCATTCGGCGTTGTCGAGTTGGCTTGCAGTGGAGTTCGGTGGGGTGGCCTGTGTCAAACATTTCGATAAGCTTGTTCCTACCGAAGCTATTTTGGTGACCAGCATCACAACTACGTCTTCAAGTCTTTCATACTTCTGGGACAGTGCAATTACGGTTTTAACTAGTGGGACAGTAATCCACTTCACACGAAACCAAAATGAGTCAGGCCTACTGCCGATCAGCCTGCACTCGCTTGGTTGGATTTCCTCACATTGCGCATGAAATAGGCTGAGCAATTCCCACAGGAAACTCCTATTTTGACCATCATATTGCACGTTCCACAGGCGCCTATAGGCACCGCGGCTCGGTTAGTAGCGCTCATCTGGCACGTGAACGTGTGATGGTTAGTCCTACCCAGGACCCTGGATCGATTAATCCTGCTTCATGGTCATATGCCGAGACAGCTGGTTGTCTCCATTCCTCTCTCTCTCTCTTGTGGTCCCGCGCAAATAGCCGGATTCAACGGTGTGCCCACAAGCACACGAAGACGCGACGTGTATTGATGGGGTCGCGTTACACGACGATGCACGCGGTGCGTTAGCAAGCTACCCTAAGTGTCTCGGACGCGATGTTTAGTGGGTGAACAACGCAAAATGTCTCTTATCTTTGTTATGCTGTCGCCTGTAGGTATGGTCACAGGGTTGTTTGAGAGTCTTTAGCTTTTTCTACCGAATGAGACCAAAATTGTTCTCGAATGGCTCGGGAGTGATGCGATTTCACAAGCAGAACTCGACGAAGAATGTGCCAAGACTGAGAACAGGAGTAGCAGTATGATCCACGCAAGTTAGGTCCAAGAGATGGAAAGCACTGAGTAGCGCTCGTCGAACTAGTTCGAAAAAGTACACACACAAGAGAACTGGAATGACCACAGCGAGAGCTGAGATAATGTGCGGCCGTACGGCAGTCAGTTCAGCGTCGTACACCGCTGCTATTGTGTAGGAAAGTGACTCTCGGGACCAACCCTGTCTTCTGCAGTGTTCGTAGCTTGTATGGCAGTGGAGGATAAATTATGCTGTCACAGTTAGCCTATAAGTCAAGACCTTTCACCATCGTCCCTAGTGGCATGGGCTCCTGGCCAAACCGCTTTTTGGCAAACTTTTCATGCTCACTTTATCAGATCTTATGTTGCCGTTTTTTAATCAACTTGAATGAATACTTGACCATTAACTGTACGGGTATTTTCCTTTTGCATCTCTTGGAATTGATCGTTATGTGTACCACAATAGTTCATTTTCCTGTCTTGTTATCGCTTTTTCCATTCCCGTTATTCACAGGGATAAAGCTGGGGCATACGCTATTCAAGGACTTGGTGCTAGCCTGATTGAAGGAATTGATGGGGACTACTTCAATGTAGTTGGTTTGCCAATCTACAAACTATGCCAGCATCTACGCGAATTACTTCTCGAAGTCGCGTAGTTTATGAAAATGGGGATAACTACGCATACAATAGACCGCAACTTCTAAATATTATTTTCTATGCCACAGAGAAATCGTGACTTTTGTCCTCTAATACTCGAACTTTCGGATCCTGTATTTTCTCCTATGACTGCTGCATCGTCACCATGATCGGCAATATATTGGTGTCCGCGTTTTTTCGTCCTTTTTTCCTGCCTTAGAACTACTAGACCGTTTACTGAATACTGTATTATAGAGCAAGTAGAAATGGATTCTGTACAACTCTTTCGAAATATTGTGAAAAAACGAAGTTGTCAACCGTGAACATCATTGTCGTTCTCATGTAATATTTAGCATATTCGACTTACGATATTCCAGGATTCACAAATGTGATATGTCATCGTGAGTGTGCAGTCGTTCTCTGAATCAAATGGTGGCAAAATATAAATCTGACAACGTTTTGAACTGTTGCACAGATGATATCTCAATCACATGTTCAGGCAAACCGTTCCAAACGTTTACCACTCTCCGTTCGAAGCACAGTGGGTGGGGAACACATTTCACATCTGGCACGAGAAGTTTGTATCTGTGTCCGCGTGTGCTGCATGGCCCTCGTAAGTGCAGCATTGGCCTTAACATGGGGAAGTCACCGAGATGTAGAATACGGTAGGTCATAATGAGGTCGACTCGCACCCGACGGTAGGACAAGGTGTAGAGTCCTACTTTCTCGCACCGGTCTTCATACCCAAAGCCACGTAAACTCGGGATAAGCCTGGTAGCAACGTGTTGGACCCGTTCGATCTTTTGTGCCTCGCCTTGGGTAATCGGAAAGTAGGCGGGCGAACCGTACTCTAGCATTGGTCTAATGATAGAAGAGAACAAGCGGGTGGCAACCTCTTCAGACCATGTGCCGAAGCTACGTTTGAGCGCCCAAAGCATGCGCAGTCCGTTACGATATAGCCTGTTCGTGTTGTCCACGGACTTCAAATCGTAACGTGAGAGTACACCTAGGTCCTTCACGGAGGGTGTGGGATATAGCGTTTGGCCGTCAAGGGTGTAGTTTCGGCCGTTAGCACCCTTCCCCAGGCTCATAAATACAGACTTAGCTGGGTTGACCGGGAGAAGAACTTCTGCAGACCATGTGGATAGGCGGTTGAGGTCTTGCTGAAGTAGGCCACAGTCATCGGGAGCTTCAATTTCTCTCCAAATCTTCATGTCGTCCGCAAACAAGGCACACGGCGACCGGAGAAGCTGCGGTAGATCCTTGATGTGGATCAGGAACAGAGTGGGCCCCAGCACAGTGCCTTGAGGCACGCCACTTGTAGAGGGGTACCAGTCAGTTAGATGGTCGTCGACCTGTACCCTCCACTTTCGTCCAACAAGAAAGTCGCGGATCCACCGGTGCAGTGAGTCACCGACACCACACATGCTGAGTTTGTGAAGGAGAACCTCATGACTGACTTTGTCGAACGCTTTACTGAAATCGATGAATATCACGTCGACGGACTTCCCCTTGTTTATTGCCTTCAACCACTCATGCCTCGTCACAAGCAGGTTCGTAATGCATGAACGACCTTGCATAAAACCGTGCTGTGCGGGCGTCAGGACCTCGTTTGACTGTAGCAATTGCAGCAATCCCTTCTTCACGATTTTCTCAGCAACCTTTGCCAAAATAGGTGTCAGACAAATTGGCCTGTAATTGTCTACTTTGCTAGGGTCGCCGCCTTTCGGAATAGGCTTCACCACCGAACATTTCCAGTCAACCGGCAACAAACCTGCGGACAGCGACCTGTTGAAAAGGTCAGTCACGACAGGAGAGAGGATGGTTGAAAGTGACTTGAGAACCAGTGGGTGAAGCCCATCAGGTCCGGCAGGTTTGGTGCCGTCCAGGTTGGCGAGTAGTTGAGCTACCTCTTCAACGCCGCAATGCAGACGATCGAGTTCGGTAAAAGCGGTACACGTCGAACTCGGAACAGACACCTGGTTATTCGCAAATACAGAAGCGAAGTGCGCCGCCAACGCGGACGCACGCTCAGTGCTAGAGGTTAGGGGCTGTCCATCCGTGCCATCCAGTACTGTCACATCACCTGACGGCTTCAGGCGTCGCTTCACGTATGCAAAGATTCTCTTTGGGGCGGTTTTCGCGGCTAATGCGAGCTGCTCTTCAAAATGTCGGCGTTTATTCCTTTTTGCACTGTTGCAGAGGTTCCGCTGACATTTATACCCTTCGTAATCATTGGCAGGGCCAGAGAGGAGAAATTTGTCCCACAGTCTGCGCCGCCTCCGAGCCAGGTTTCTATACTCCTTGTCAAACCAATGAGCCTTAATCGGTCCAACCTTTCGACATTTCAATGGCACAAATTGGGAACACAATAATGTCAATCTCTCTTTTATAAATATCCAACAATCTTCCACAGATGCAGCTTGTGACAGAGACCAATCCAGTTGGCTCGCGGCTCGAGCTAGACCATCGAAGTCCGTTTTCCAGTAGTTGGGAGCTTGTCGCAGCGGATGTGAATACGGCAAAGATAATTCCATATCAGCTATCAGTACTGAGTGGTCGCTCGTAGCCAGGGGCTCCAGAATCCTAATGTTACGCACTCGTTGTTCGTAGCTCGTTAACACCATGTCGAGACAGGACGAGGTTGAACGTGTTGATATGCGTGTTGGCTGGCATATGTGTTGCGATGCACCAGTTTCAAGTACCAAATCCACGAACTTTGCTTCAACCTCACTATGTCCAGGCATCAAATGCACATCAGGCCATCGTATTCGAGGACAGTTAAACTCGCCCATAAGCAGAAAGTGCGGACGACTCATGTGGGTCCGAAGAATGGGCAGCCAATCCAAACAACGACTCAGGGGACTGCGATAAAATGCGCCCACAAACAGTTCTCCGCGCCTGAGGCGGATGGAGCACCACAGTAGCTCACACAGACCATCGTCACTTCGGTAGGTGCTCACAAGTCTCCCACGCAGGGAAGACCGGATGTAAAGTAAGACACCACCGTGGGCATTCTTTAGTCTATCGCATCGGAAACACGAGTAACCGTTGAGTTCAAGTTCTTGGGTGTATAACTCTGCATGCAGCCATGTCTCTGCGAGTCCCACTACGTCTGGCCGCTCAGACGCAACGAAACAACAAAGCTCATTGCGCTTATTCATAATACTGCAAACGTTTGTGAAGGCTACTCGCAGGTCGCAGCAGGAGCCACCGGGCCTGCTTGAAGTGTGAGCAGCCTGTTTATCCTGATTCGCGGATTGTTGGAAACCACCCGAAAATTTACGATACGAAGATTTGTTTCCCCCACACCAGTGCGTCTTTTCAGCTCAATGATGGCAGACTTGAGCCGCTGCCTGTCTACTGGGTCTAGGTCGGGACGAACATGGATTTTCAAACCTTTCAGTCTAGTTAGGCGAGACATGATCAGTCTTGGACTGGCTTCGTCCACAAAAGTGATTCTCATAGGCCGATTTTGTTGATCACCTTGCTTTCCAAGACGGGTAATCTGCCTCACTTTTACCGAGTCCTCACCAACGTCGAGGAGTCTATCAATTAGACCCTGTAAAAACTCGACATCGTGATCGTAGCGCACTTGGGGTGATGGGTCACTGGACTCCGGTGCGTGAAAAATCACGAGATTATAACGCCTCTGGTCGGACGAGGTTGGCCTTGCAGGGCGAAGTATACTACCAGCCTCAAATGGTTTGGCTAACTGTTGACTTACAGAACGTAAACGCCCAACATCCCTTCCTAATTTCGTCCTCTGTTCTTTCCACTGGTCTTCAGCATTCAGACTTTCACCTGCTGGGACATCAGTGTCCGTTGGACACAACAAAGGTAAACAATATAGATCAGGTGCAACTGGGCTTCTCACAACGGTTGGACTTCGTGTCGGTGAGTTTGCACAGGTAGAGGAGGACGACTGAGCCGAAACCTGAAGGCTCTTCGCGCTAGGTTGTTGGGCCAAACACACGGAGCTGTTCGCAACGAAACGCTGATGCCTACACGTCGGCTTTACTCTTTCTGGCTGTATCTTATTTTGGCAATTTTCACATATAGTTTGGACGAAATCGTGTTGGATCTCGCGAAGACGATGAAAATGCTCAACTGATAATCCAACACATGAAATGTGCAGAAGGATGTTGGATAGGTTTTTTTCAAACTCAACCTGTTCACCCCTGTTTAACAACCGAACCAACGAAAGTTGTATGGATCAACTCCCAGTTGACTTGATTCTTTGACTTCGCTCTGCTGCCTTCGGAGCAGGCTATTCAGCCAACCGTTCGAGGTGGTGTCCTCTAAGTCAACCCTCGACTTCGACTTGGTGCCTCTGCCTAAACCATGGACATTTTTCTGCGTTGTATTCGAATTTCTTTCGACCATAACTGTACCCTTCATTGTTTTTGATATATCTATGGTCGCCCTCTGCGGTAGCGCAGAGGCGTCTGCTAGAAATTGAGTTATAAATGTCCAGTCTTCTGGGTAGAATTAGAATTAAAGTCAACTGTGATGGCACGGTAATGCCTAAGGAATCAGCTCACTGCGACAATTGCCTCGGAGCGCCGAATAATTGCACCCGAGACGTACGGTGACAGTAGTCGTTATCAAGTAGCTTATCACCGCAACAGAGTACACAGCGACATATGCCAACGGTTGAGTACTTTACGACAGCCATGCTACTTCTTGGAAATTTGCCAAACAGTTTGAACACTTCCGAAGCCCGAATGTTTGACAGTGGGCAGCGGGACTTGATGTATTAATGCTGTGATCTCGTCAAAGAGGTCATCAGCAAATGTGCTTAAGGTAACTCAAGGGACCTTCGGGTACCTGTACGTACCTCGGACACCCGAAGATCAGACCCGTCCAGTCATAAGCGGCGACACAGAGAGACTGTAGTTAACACTCCGTCTTATTCTCACGATCCGCGACCACCATCAGCTCTGCAAGCCTGACTTCACATGTAGGGATTGACATCTACAATACGCACTAGCGATAAATCATCACAGTAGTACTGTACCACTTAATTTTGTGTCATTCCATCTGGTAACCGTATTGATGGCATTGGCTTCCCTATTCCTATATCTACCTCTATCTATTGTTGATACCGATGCTTTGACTAAATTTAAGACTGTCATTTAGGTTTACGTTCAGTCATTATCGACAGTTCGTATTGCTTACTTATTCTCGTACGTGCGAC